AAAATAATATTTAATTATTGACTACTAATTTGAATCAGTACATTACCTTAAAAAAGAAGGTGCTTTTGAGATCAGATTTTTTAAACCGGTAAACTCCTGTAAACTTTTCAGTCCAAGGATCCAGTAAACGAATGCCTTCAAACAGTAGCCTAAGTTCAAAACAGTTACAGAGAAAACCCGACCGGTTTCATTAGAGATTGTTTAGTCACATCCAGAATTATTCTTTTCAGCGTGTATTTGGCTTAAAAGCATGAGTGTTTTATAATGGACACTGCTGAAGCCTGAAGGTGTTTTTTAGATTCTGAATGGATCCATATAGTAGCCTGTACAGTCAGGTCAAGGCAGTAGGTTTAGTGATCTTTTGGCGTCTCCTTGTGGTCCTGTTTGATATCGCAGCTTGACTAGTGCTTAATTGTATTAAAAATGCTCTAAACTATTTTATTATAATTTTTTTTGCACTATAGAGTATAGCCTATACATAAATGTTACTATTTGCCCGTCACTGTATGCCATGGGAGAAACAGTCAGTCAAACATAGGAGTAGAGCTGCACAATTCTGGATAAATTGATCACGATTTATTATAATTTTTTTTTTGTATCAAATAGAGATCATGATTCTCCTACAGATAACTAAACAAAATAGCTTGTCTACTAGGGGTTCTGACGAAATGTTAATTGTTGCAGTCTATGTAATTTTTTTACATTTTAATTATTGCAAAATCTGCATCTCTTTTGTGGCTAATATTAATTTCATAACGATCCTTACTCCAGTAAGTCAAGTAGCAGAAGTTACAGAAAGTGAAAATGTGCAAATACTATTGGCCCATTTTGGGCTGAACTAAATATGCAAGACTAGTCTTGACTCTTACATGTCACTGTTTATAACACAGGCCGTTCATCCTTTGCTGAGCCGCTTAAAAAAATGGGGGCATAAATTAAGAGTATACGCACTTCTCCAGGCACCACTACACCACTGCACCAGACCTCTGTACTGCAGGATAAAGCTGAATGTGCCAGCGCTGGACAGGTTTTTTAAAGAGGGGTACGATGCTGTTTCATGCATTCAGAGCTGTTTACACTGTTAAAGAGTTGGATTATCATGCTAAGCATGGACAAAGTTTCAAAAAACAATTTGGACGTATGACAGAGTATTTATGTGCCAAAAATCTTACTTCCGGGTTCATACAAGTTTCGAAGAGTTTTTTTTCGATCGTGGCTCTTAATGACGTAAACGAGGGTGGAACTCCTTATATGGGCATTTCTCCCAGAAGAACGCGTCTGCGCATGCATCGACCAGAGCAAGAGCGAGATCGCGCCCATCAACGCGCTTCATCCGGCGGAAGCGCTGTTCGGGACTTGCTGGGGAAGAATGTCTCCAATCCAAAGAAGTGTGTTTTTGGTTGTAAGAGAAGTAACTTTGTTGATCCCGGTCATGATTCAGAACTGCAGACGGTAAGTGAAACCGCATCAAATGTCTGTTTTTTTGGCATTCGGTGCCCAAGTGCTCGTCACTCTTTAGCTCCGCCCACGGCGCACCTCAAGGAGCTCGGCTTTTTCAGGAGAGAATTGTAAAGCTGTATCTTTCTTTACCACAGTAATATAATTATTTAATGAAGAGTTCCATAAAGTTTAAACATCCGTGAGGGTGGTTTGTCCCGCTATTGCTGTGTCCCATTTTGTGAGGCTTCTCAAAAGTTTTTCACACTTCTCCCCTGGATGAAGAAAATCGCAATAAGTGGATTCAGAGTAGTAGATGTAAGGATTTTAACATCACTTTTGATACTACAGTCTGCAGGCGCCACTTACGGTAACGACAACATACGGTTCTACACTAGGTAAGATCTAAACCCTTATTTACATTACTACCATGCACAATGTAGGCCTGTTGTGAATTTTTTTTTTTGTCGCTGTGGTTGCCTGTTTTTTAAAAACCACTTCTGTGGGTCTGGGCAATATGTGTTAACGAGTTAATAGATTCACCCAAAAATTTAAATAAAGCTGCCATCATATACTCACCTTTATGTAGTTGTAAACCCATATGGCTTGATTTCTTCATTGGCATACAGAAATGTTGTAAATAATGTTCGTGTCAGTCAGCTGTTTAGATATTTCTCCACCACATTAGAAATTCATAGTGGTTTAGAATGACACGAGGGAGAATAAGCCAAAACCCCAGTTAAAATAATTGTTTTCATAAGAGTACTTGCATGTCAATACATTATACATTTTTAAAGTAACCATCAGGTTCACTATAGGCAAACTAACTTGGTTATTACATTGTGTGGTGTGCATTTTCTGAAAACATGTCTCATTCAATCTAGATTTGAGATTTTTGGAGAGTTATTGAACCTGCATTCCACATGGTTTGTGTGACCAGAGCGAGGACAGCTACAACGAGGAGAGAAGTTGGAATAACAAGCAATGCAATGGTAAATATTGATATTATATTATTTGTGACAAAGAAAATGTTATATTTATTTTTTGATGTGCATGTTACATGCATGTATCATAATTATTTAAAATGTATTTTGACAGTGTCAGTCTCTGCAGCCCTTCGATGAGTTCCTCCTCTTCATGGTCCACCTTTCAGTCAGTCTTCCACAGAGAGATCTGGCCTTACACAAAACACTTGGGATGGATTAATTTGGTTTTATTTGTACAGACTAGAATATTAAATATAATGTAAATGCAAATATATATAACTTTAATACAGTTTCTTGCTCACTAGTGTAATCTAAACATGTAAATATAAACACGTACATTTTAGAAACTTTGATACAGTGTAATAGTTATTTAAAATACTAATAACTGTGATAGTGTAATGCTATGGTTTTTTAACACTTCTGCCACTTGGAGGACTGATAGGCCAAGCAGATCACTGTGACGCCACTGTAAACATTCTCCTGAGATGAAAAACAAAGGTATAGTGTAAACTGACCATTAAAGAAATAAAAATCTTCCACCACTGTCATTACATGTTGCATACATTATGAATGGAGCCATATCCAATATGATTGTGTTTTTGTCTTTTTTCTGCTAGGGCTAATCATATAGGCATGTTATACATTATGAATATAGCAAGATATGAAAAGATGATGTAATTAGACAGTCTACTCCTACCTTAACCACTCAGCGAGTTTCCTCTCTTGCAAACAGGACCACCGTCCCACTGACAGGACCTTGCTTAACTCTCTAGGCATACCAATGGGGCACGTTAATATTATTAATAAAAAGTCTATTAATTATGTTATTCATTAAAGAATTTTATAATTATCTTACTTACCTTCTAGGTTTGTGCCAGTTCTGCTCCATTCAGTGCAGCTCTGTACAGGAGGAACTGCACTGATTCTCAGTTCTGAATAGTGTGCTGTCTGGTACAGTGCTGCAACAGTATGGATGGGAGTCCTTTAAAACAATCTGTGAAGATAATTGCATTGGGTTACATATTGAATTGATTTCAGATACATTTTGAATTACTTTCAGTTGCATTTTAAATTGTTACATTGTAAATTAAACTATATTTAAAATAAGTTATGAAGAATTACGTCTATATAATGTTACAAACATGCCAATAAATAGGTAAAGAGTTAAGTAGTATTTCAAAGGATGTCCCACGCAAGGACTGGAATTGAGAACCGCTGTTCTAGACATGCCAAAAATTTGCCGCTACAGCACAGCAGCTCTTCTTCTTGGTTTTCTCTGATGCACTAACTCTGCAGCAGCACTTCTTCTTCATCGTCTCGTCTGATGCACTCACTGAACCAAGCGTTCTAACCACAACCTCGCCCCTCCCCACCCCCCAACCATTCGAATTTCTTTAGGCGGGAATTATTTGTAATGATATTCCAATGAGCCGGTTTGTGATATCACAAAGCCCGGAAAACAAACACTGTAGTTCAAACGAGCCGTTCGTTGTAGTTCTTGAAAAGGGATTTAAAAAAAACGAAATATCTCCCTTTGGAGTGGACTTTGAGATTTGTAACTTTCTAAATCTTTTTTATGCCCAAACATACACACTACACACTGACTAAAATTAAAAAGTGAAAAAGCATAATAGGACACCTTTAACCATTCCTGATCTTGTTTGCTTCTGATCTTAATTGCTTCTTTGCTGAACAGCTTCATCATGATCCCTGGAAAACTGCTATATTAAATGTAAACTATCAATTCAAGCTTCAGGAAAATATAACGATGAACTGCCAGAAACGGTCAGACTTAAGGTTTATTACGATACATGGCAATCTAAAAATGGGAACATTATTTAAAATACTTTATATCAAGCCAAGACGTTCCTATCACAGCCACAGATGCAAACAAACGTGGATTACCGGGAGCTCTGATGTTATTGCTACTATCTCTTAGGAGTTATAAAAACCTGAGGTGGACGGAGTTTAAAGCTAAACTCTAACTTAGCCCTGCTATTTAAGTGCTGATCAAATCGGCGCAGAAGTCATGCAGCGTTTTATAAAGCCTTATTAGCAAGATTTGCTAGAAGACGATAGAACAATACTCACCCTAAAGTTGTCGATGTACCTTGAAACGTTTAATGCCCTTCTCCGTGCGATTAAATTCATTTACAGTAATCTGGGGAAGTTCTTGTAAACTGAAAAATTATCTTCTCCTCTTGTCATTTTGAAAGCTCTACGTAAGGAACAATGGCTTTCGGCACAGCACCGGATTTAAGTAAGCCCCACGAGGGCTGAGGGAAAAATGCGGAAGTGACCGTGCATAGAGTCCATTGTACGCAAGAGCAGAGCTAAACTGTCCAAATCGAAAATAATATTGATATCAATCGCTTACATTGAGTATTTCTTGTGGCGTCTTGAGGAAATATCTGTTTAACTGTCAACACTGCCCCCTAGTGGTCGGGAGCGTTTCCGTTGTGTTGTGGCTTACTGTCGTTGTGTTGTGAGCTTATGTTTGCTTTTTGAATTGCGTTGTGTTGTGTTGTGTTGTGTTGTGAGCTTATGTTTGCTTTTCGAATTGCGTTGTGTTGTGAGCTTATGTTTGCTTTTTTTAATGTTGTTGTGTTGTGAGCTTATGTTTGCTTTTTGAATTGCGTTAGGTTGTGAGCTTATGTTTGCTTTTTAAATTGTGTTGTGTTGTGCACTATTATGCCACCTTAATGCAGTACTACTCTATAGGTACTCAAAATTAACATGAGATTGGGTGAAACTGTGTGTGTTATGCCCCCTTTAATGACTGTGACACACGGCCTGATTTTCGGCTGAGCAGGGAGGCCCTGACAGTGCTGCAGGATCTTCTGAGAAGTGAACGGCAACAGTGACGGGGTGCCACAATCCAGACCCTGGTGTTTCTTTTCTGTCTGCCAGTGGTACATAATACAGAGTGGTCTCCAGAGTGCTTGACATGCCTCGTTCCACTGTCACCGCATTGTCCACCGAGTCGCTGAGGAGGTGCTGGCCATTCGCCAAGAGATTCACCTCCTGAAGACACCAGAACACATGGAGGCAGGGCTGGGCTCAAAACTGATGTTGTTTTTCTGATGTTAAACCTAAGCTATGTTGTAAATAGTTGTAAAAAGTACTTTCAGTAATGTATAGAACAATTTGTTCTTTTTGTTGTTTTTTAAATTTTTTTCTTTTTCAGAGGGAACATACAGAGATCAGGACATACATAATTTCTCAGAGAGAAAGAAAATAAATAAATAAATAAATAAATGAAAACACATACGTACATACACCTTAATGTTACTATGGAGAGTATGTATATACAGAATATGTATGCCCTCAATCTTGAAAACAAATTTCTCAAATGTTACATAGGCATTATATGCTCTTCCTCTTAACAACAACTATATACAAAAGAACATGGGGAGCTATTGCTTACAACTCATACAAAAAGATACATTAAAAGAACAGTTACAGAACAATTTGTTTAAATGTGTAAAAATATTTATTTACAGGACAAAAAAATAAACGTATAGAAGAATGTTTTGTAAAAAAAATTAGAATTGTATTTACCCATTTTTACAATGTACCCATTTTTTTCCACTGTTTTCTCTTGGCTAATAGAGAATGGCTAATAAATAATGTATTTGTTAAGCATTCTATAAAAAAATATATTGAAAAATTGTAATGTATCCATTTTTACCACTGCTTTCTCTTGCCTAATAGAGAATGTCTAATAAATAATGTATTTGTTAAGCATTCTCTCAAGAAGAGAAAACAGTCCCTCCATTCTCTCCTTGCTCTCCTGCTCTTCTCTCCTCTGTCTCTCTCTGGAGTTTGATATCCTCCCTGAGTATCTCCACCAGCTTCCACTCACTCCCTCACCTGTCCCAGGAAACTTGCAATCCTAAGGCAGAGCAAATAAACCATGCCTGTTAACAACAACAGCACAATGAATTTCAGCAAAAATGTGTCTATTAACTTGCTTACTTTGTATTTTTTAAGACTTTCCCCAGCAGGCTAATTTTCTCCAGAATAGTCCAAAAACAAGAGAAAATGGATACACTTATGAAAGATATAAAGACAGGTTTGCGATCTTAACATTAGAAAATATGACACAGCAGGACATGCATACAAAATACTGAAGTGCTAAAGTTTGGTTAAAACATTTGTAGACATGACAGCACTACAAAAACACACAAAAAAGAAAGACTATTGCCTTATAAAGTGGTTGTCTTATTGTTTGTGCGCTTTGTTTTTTTTTTTTTAAACCTGGCTTTTAACACTTGTTTCGCTAGGTATTTGAGTAAATGAAAACACAATACTTACATTTCAATGTGAATTCCTCCACAGAACTGTCATCCTCCATGTTCTTTGAATATAAATTCCATCGTCATCAGCGTGCAAGTGATTCTGGGATATGGTAGGGTGCAAAGTGTCCATCAGATGTACACTTCATTTTCCTGGGAAATGGAGGGTGCATTTGAAGTTGCTTTCGAAATACGTCAACTTTCGTCGCGCCGCGTGACGCAATCGGCCTTGGAATGCAGTCTTCGGAGGATGCATCCTGAATTGGGACAGCTTACGTCGTGACGCTGTGATGCAATCGCATTTCAAATACGCACTTCGGAATCCGCACACTTGGGACAGCCTTCGTCGCACCGCTGTGACGCAATCGGACTTCAAACGCACACTTCGGAGTCCGTGCACTTTACATTGGGACACAGCTATCGAGTTTAGCACGTGCACCACGACTGTGAAAAGCCATGATCAATGGAGCTCCGAAATTATGATTCACCATGGCAACAGCACACGACAACAAGACGTCCGCATACTTCCGAGTCAATACGTAGCTTTAATTCTTAATCACTGTTATAATATCAAAGGTAAAAAGTGGCAGAACGGTAAATTAATTAAGTAATATTAATTTTCATGGTATCCTACAGGCAAAAGAAAAAGAAAAAAAAAAAGCAGTGAAAATGAAGTATAAAAACATAATTCAATCGAGGTTAAGCTTTAAGCACAAAAGGTTCATGAGTGTAGGCTACATGACTTTACAAGCATTTGACATATTAAATAAACATCATTTAGTGTCTATTTCAATGTGTAGCAGCTTTTTCCACATAGTTAAATGCTCTTTTCACATAATTAAATGTTCTCTAATCTAAACTGTTGCATTTAATAATTAGAGTAAATTAAATTAAAGGGGTCATATGATGCAAATTCAATTGTTCCTTTCTCTTTGGAGTGTTACAAGCTCCGTCACGTTTTGGTAACGGTACGGTTCACTTGGAACCTCAACCGAGGTGGTACTAAAAAAAGTACCAGGTACCAGGTACTGTACTCAGTGGAAAACCCCCCAAAAGGAAACCGTACCGAGCCGTACCGTGCCGTACCATGCAGTGGAAAAGCGCCATATGTTACCATGGTAACGGAATCTAAGTATAAAAGTTACCTCTCTTTTAAAAATGGGCTTGACTTACTCTGCTTTCTCGGGTTTGACAAGCCTTCCATTCTGAAACGGAAAACCCAGAGTTTCCCTCATTTCAGGGTTAACATACTCAGAGTTTTCACTTAACATCCTTTCTGAAACGGGCCTCTGGAACGCAGAGAAACCAAACCAAAACACAACAGAAACGTGACATCAGTAGCAATGGACTTTCATAGTATGGAAAAAAAAATACAATGGAAGTCAATGGCTACCATCAACTGCTTTGTTACCAACATTTTTCAAAATATTTCCTTTTGTTTTCAGCAGAAGAAAGAAACTCATACAGGATTGGAACAAGTATAGGGTGAGTAAAAGATGACAGGATTTTTATTTTTAGGTCAACAATTTCTTTTATTTAACTTTTTTTTTTTGTTTTTTTGGCTGAAACGTCCCTTTAATGACAGTGTGGATATTAGCAAAGTATCACAATGAATCTGTCACCATTCTAAAAATACATGTAGAAATGCTATCTGTAATATTGCATTTCATGGGGTGCCTCCAACTTGAATAACAGTCGATTTTAAAGCGTCGATTTTAATGATCATTAGTTGACATAACTGGAGCCTGTGCAAAAATAGATCGGCTCTATGCTGTCACCACCTGTGACAATATGAATAAAGCTAGCTCAACTATTTTGTGACTCGTCAGATCAATTATTTTGACACCGCAGTAGCCAAGGGGAAAAAAAAGAAAAAAAAACGATTAAATATTTATGAATGTGTATAATCACAGAAAGCATATCGGCAGGTAGGTAGATTAAACCAGGGCCTCATAGTTCAGGAATTGCCTGGAGGCAAAACTTTATTTATTTGTTGTCACCAGGAATGTGATTACAAACTTGGAATGCAATTCTGCACAGAATCATGGCATCGCGATCAAAGCACAATGACACATGCCTCTGCAGAATCACACAGGACTGAATCACACACAAATAGATTACATACTATATTGTAATGTAAAAAGTATGGAAGGTATTTGACATGCAGAGGAAAAACTGCACAAAAATAAACATAAAAGATCACAAATTACCTGCTTGCATTACTTTTTTTTAAGAATATCAAACCATATAAATGAATCAAAACATAGTGAAGTAAATAGTGAATGCTTCATCAGTTTTAAAATTATATCTCCAACCAATTTTTGTCAAATTTGCCATTTTCAACAAGAGGGAAGCCCACAGAAATATTTAAATAATATATGACTCCCTACAGCAACACAATGCATTAAAATTGCATGGCTGGGTTCACTAGCTTTAGAATATGTCAAAACCTGCTTGTGACCCATCTATCCAGAACACCGCACTGCATACTGCAGTTTAGATTTCACACACACACACACACACACACACACATACCTGCCACATGATTTTCACCATCAGTACAAACCTCCATGCTCATTCCTAAACCATTCAACTTTAAATATACACCCATACTGTCACTAATCCGGTCTATAAACTTCCGTTCACTCACCACCAGAGGTCACCCGCTCTCCACATGGACTCTCACACTACACATGCCTTGTCCAAATACCCACACATGCGGTCTTGGCCACTTGAGAGCACGTGCGCGCGACAGGAAGTAAGTGCGCAAGACTGTCCCAGATCTTAAAAACGCCAGAGCGCAGTGCCCTTAACACACACTAAATCCACACTATCTCGAATACCGCTCCAGAGCATCATGTTGTGGAAATAAATCGTGAGACTTTTTGCCGAGATCTCGTGAGAGGTCACGGAAACCTTTCCAATGTATGTGAAATATTAATAATAATTAGATATTACATA